TTTTTCCTCAGCAGCTCAACCTCTCTATATATATATATATATATATATATATATATATATATTATAAGTCTTTAATAACTTTAAATCAGAATTATTTGGTAGTACTAATGTACCATTTCTACATATTGAGTGATAAGATGTTAACAATCTATCCTTAACTATACAGCTAAATAGTCAAGACTATTACTCTGGCCAAATATGATTTAAAAACAGAGAGAGAATGATGAGCAACAGAATAATCATGTTAAGTCAAAATCACTGAAAATTGACATAATTTCTATCATGAATATAAGAAAAATCTGAATTATTCATTGGTTAAAAAACCATGTATTTTATGAATTCTCAACTACAAGGAACTAAAACCTCTGAGACTACAATAGAAATTTAAACATGAGAGACTGGCTTGTTTCTGTCAATAGAATATTTGTTGGGAAATGTTTGGTTTCAAATAATAGGAGGGTAATAAATCTGTAACGTCAGCGGTCTGTGAGGGCACTGCTATTAGAAGCCAAAAGAGGAGTAGACAGTTCATATGAATACTTAAGAAGAGAAGCAGAAGTAAAGCCAGAATTTAAGAGGAAACTACATTTAAGGATCAAAGGGAAATGTTTATGGGACATTCAAAGTTTTAAAACAGGGAGAGAGAAAGCATCATATAAAATGTTAACCGGAGTGAAAGGATGACAAGGACACTTAGCAAATAGGGAAATATAAAGAAATAGAGATCACTTAGCAGCATACCCCTTATTGTTTATACAATATCATTATTAGCAAAATGGAATTTCAGTGAACTGTAAAATGCCATGGGGTAGCAATTGGTTTATACCTCCTAAGGAGAACAAAATACCTGGATAGAGCAGAAGTGGAACAATAAAGAAGCTTCTAGATCAAGGGAGTCTGACGCATTGGTGAGATTTAATAAGTGCCAGTTGAGAAAAGGTTATTGAATTTTAGGAAGGCAGGTGGTGATATTAACAGAATGATTTCAGTAGCAGGGGGCGTTCACAAGCTGGATTTGCAAGGGATTAAAATGGAATTGAGTAGAAGCTGTGTCCCAGGTATAGGTCACATATTTCAGGGGTAGATAGGCAATAAGAAGACACAGGAAATACGATTGTCCCCAATACAGAACTTAAGGAGAAATCCAAAAGGCAAGAGTGGTCCTGGATAACAAATTGTTGGACATAACTTGAAAATGTGATCTCGAATGACAGCCACATATTTTATTGAGTAGCTTTGGTCTCCAGAATGTAGTTTCTGCACTCGAGCTGTGTAAAATCTATTTAGCGAAGAAAGCAAATGGTGACAGTTGTATACAAGCTTAGCAAATCATGTCTGGATTAGGGACAAGTGATTGGAGCAAAGACAACACAAAGGAGAGGAGCCTAACTCTGGCAAAGGTAACTGTCCGGTTCCAGCTCCAGCATGCTAGAGGTGGAGACCTGCCTGAATAGCAGGTAGAGATGAGTATGGTTTCGAAGCAGAGAGGAGAGTTTTTAACCAGTATGTGGGATAGAGAGGCAAATGAAAGGGTTGTATGAGTTTTATATGTAACACAAGGAAATGAAACCAGAAGACAACAGCTTTGCATTATTAAGCAATTTTGCTCAAGGTATGGTCCTGTCCATCATCATCTCAGGCCTGGTCTTACAAAGTGGGTTTATAAATTACTAATAAATTATTAATTTGTAGGTTGTGAGTTGTTATCTACCAAAGGGACTGATCAGGTTTCCACAAAACAGTATGCTCCAGAGTAAGGCCTCTCTCGAGCTCAAGGATATCATCTCAGGGTGGGCTTTCTCAAAGGTACTCCTGTTCTTGGAACTTGATGTAACTGCAGGTACAGGATAACAGCATCTTCTTGCTTCATGGGATGGGGTAGATAATGTGGGCAGATACTCCTTGAGTGTTTCACATGAATCAGAGACATCAGGCTTCCATCTTGGTTTTAGTTACTTGTGTATTCAAAGGAGGACCCAGCTGCAGAGTGCCTGTCCCAGGGGGATAGAAGGTTGAGTGCTGAAAGTTCTCCCAGAGGAGGTTTTCAAACCAAAGAAGATGGAAGGTAAAGGCAGAAATGTAACAATAAGTCTTTACTCCATCTACCCAAGCCCTGCCTTGGGGTGTGGGGTGATCCCACTCCTGACACCAGATTTTGAGGGAATTACCAATAGGATGCTACACCTCCTTTCCTCCATTGTTATCACTAACGATAATGTACATCTAGTTAGGGATAGCTTCCTATTGTTTATGGTTGGATTGGAAGGAGGTGTTCAGGCTTGGACACCTCTTTCAGATGACTTTAGGGTTTAGTTAAAATAGAAATAGATAGGTGGTGACATAGCAGAATATTGTATCTCCTTGTATTTCACCTTTATGATTATTAGTTTTGGATATGTTAAGTTTTAATCCTCTTTTAAACTAAAAGGGGAATTGTAGAGGACATTGTAACAACACCTGCTCGGGGCTGGCTGCAGGTGTGCCTGACCATGCCTGCTGGAGGAAGATCTAAGAGTGAGCGGCAGGCACATGGAAGCCCCTTCTTCTTCCTTTTCATCATTGGCTTGCTCTACTTATTCCATGCCCTGCCAGCTGGCTAGGTTGCTCTGTAAGTAAGGCATTTCTCTAATAAATACCCTAATATCTTTACCTGACTCTGTGCTGGTAATTCCCTCATTATGGAAATGAGGTGAAAAATAGCATATGGGAGTTATGTCTCCAGTAAGAGGAGACTAAAGAGAAATGCAGTGGATGAGGTCAGTGTGGGCCTCCCTGGTGATTCTTCTGTAGCTGATGAACACTCAATACAGGATATTTGGTAATCAGGTTGCCTGGACACAAATCAAAAATTTATGGAAATTTTTAGCTGATCAAGAATTTGTTTTTTATCTCCCTTGGCAGAAAAAAAAATTCTCAGATTTTCCACAAAAGTTGGGAAGAGCTTTTAGACAATGAATTTTATATTAGTGACTATGTGTTTCTTGAACTTACTGTGGTTTAATCCCACTAATGAATTAAAACAATGTAAACTGATGACAGAGCTATCCTCCCAAAGACCCCAGAGCAGTGCCTTTTCTTGCTTTTCTAGTTTCCAGACACCATCCACATTCTTTCTCCATGGCCCTCTGTATAGACAAGTTATGATGGAGGGAATTGTCAGTTCTAATTCTGCCATGGATTTTTCTATGTTGGTGATGGGTAAGTGCATAAAATATATTCAGATCTGGAAGTGTAAAATTTAATGGGAAGCCCCTCAGCTTCCATTCTGAGTGCCAATCCAAGCTATATAGAAGCCCACAAAATTCTACAGACTTTGGGTCTCATTCCTTTTGGTGTGTGATTTTTTTATTTATTTGCAAATATTTTTAATAAGAAAGTTTAATACAATTTTTAAAAAAGGTAGAAAGAATGAAAGAAAAAACAGAAGATTGTGACACAATCTCTGGATTAACCAGTGAGAAGAATTCAGCAAAAGCCAAATACAGAGATATTGTAGCCATTATCTATGACAATGAAAGTGTTGAAAACACTGAAACCGAGCCAGTGCAACCAGACATGACAACCTGGGTTTTATCAATAGTATCCACATTGTGGAAGGAGAGGAAAGACTCCCACAAGTTGTCATCTGGGTTCCACAAGCATGAACACGAACACACACACACAGTGCATTTTTAAATGTGGCCAAGTAGCCCACTATTCTGAAATGGAAGTGCCATCCTAGTGGCATTTTACACATAGTGGTATTAATTCCAGTCATTTAGGAATCAATGTTTGAAGGCAAAAGACCTGCATTCATATGGGATGTTATCCATTACCCACTTCTCCAAGGGACATCATTATTTCTTGCATAAGTAATACAGAATACATACATTCAATATCAGTGCAATAATTGATAATTTTAATGTAAAGGAGATTTACAAACTTTAGAGCTTTGTACATGTTGATTGTAATGGCTTTGTATTGCTAGACTGGGGTTGTTTAGGTTGTGATGTATAAGGA